TATTATATTTTTAAGAAAATCATAATTTTTTTTCTTGCTTTTTAGTTTTCATTTATTTAAAAATTATACATTGAATAGCTGGAAAATTAATACATTATTTCAACTGGATTGCAATTAAAAACTGTTATTCTTTGATATATTTTTTATTTATTTATTTTTTAAAAGAGTTTCTTTAAAAAAAAACTTGCTCTCACTGATGTTAAATGAACTGAGCAAATTTAATATTAAGTCAATGTCTCTTAAAAATGATCAAAATAAAATAGATGTCCCATGTTCTGTACATTTTAGAACTAGATAAATAATGCAATTATTGAAAGTGCTCAGGTTTCTAAATTTTTTTTTTTTTATCTACCTGTTAAACACCTTATATTTGCTACAGTTGAAAGTATGAATAGGAATGAGGTGTTTTTTAAAATTTTATTTTTTCAATTTAATTTAGTATTATTTTCTGCCACCAAGGTAAATAAATTTGTATTGTATATATGCAGTAATTGTTAAATTAATATTGTTAATTAAATATTGTTAAATTAAAATAGCTCCATCATGTTCAAATGAATTATAAAAAAGTATTTCATTTTTTCTACCGTTAATACTAAAACATACCTTTATTTTATATATTTATGCAGCCTTTTTTTAAAATAAATAAATTTCTTTTTATCATTCTGTGAATTCTAATGTTTTTTAGTTGAAAAAATTGACTATCTTGCCTTGAATGTCTCGCGCTCATTTATATTGAAATTTGTTATTGATTAAAAAAATAAAAAAGGTATGTTTATTTTAAAACAATTAGTTGATATCGATACTACAAATTGTATACTGCTAAATAAAGGCAATGAAAGAGATAAACTAACTTGCACTATTAAAAAAATAGACGTTTAGATTTAAAATTTTAATTTACTTGTTAAGTTAAAAATATTCAAGATCTTTAATTATTATTTTTTCATCATGTTCACATATTTTTGAGCAAATTTGAATATTTTTGTTTGCATTCTTTATCAAAATATGAGTCAATTATTAAAAAAATTTCTGTGAAATACTTTTTAATAGTAAATTATTTTTAATTTGGAGCTTAATGTATTTAGTTTTTTGTTTTAAGTAAACAAAAAAAAACCTGTTTTAAACCAAAAAAAAAGCTGGTTTTTTGTTTTTTTCCAACTTTGGTAGACCAATGTAATATAATTAATTTATTTTACTTGAAAAATTATTATTTTACGTGAATTGATAAATCAATATATTTATTTACTTTGTGAAAAAAAATTTAATTTTTTTTTTTATTTTTAATAATTGATTTAAAAAGGAGATATTTCTTTAAGTTACATGCTTCTTTTATCCACCAATAAATGGATAGCAAGCATCATTTTACTTTTTTTATAATCTATTTATATTTAGTTATTTATCGGTAAAACCAATTTTAAAAAATGACCTATTTCCATGCAATGTTTTGTTAATGTGAAAACACCATATTAAGAGGAACACCCTGGTCCCCAATGTTTGGGATGGGAACCCTATAAAAAATTCCTGATTCAGAAACCCCTAAAATTAAATCGTGGATCACTACAACAAGAAAAGTGTGCATTTGATGTAGACATTAAAGTTGGTCAGATTCTTTGGACTGGGGTCCCGCATTGGACTGATCATAAAGACCCAGTAGAACACAGAAATCAAGCATCGCTGGCTGCAGTCAGTAAGTGGGTGGGTGATCACTTTGATCCGCCTGCGTAGGGACCGAGAGTGAGCAGTATCGGTCCTCGTTAAACTGTTCTACCGTAAAGTGCTTGACTTTGCGCACATGTCGTCGGGCTACCAAAGCAGGTGAGCCATCCCCTCTGCATAGGATTAAAATTGTGATGCCATGCCTTCGGATCATCCTCAGGAATGTTTCCCAGACAGTTGCCAATAGTCCATTGTGCAGCTCTGGTGCGACGTAAATTAAGTACCTATCTATGGACTGTGGAAAACTTTATTTGAAAAAACCTTTGAAGAAGTTATGTTTTATCAGAGGTTTGGATTCATCTTGCTGATTATCTATAATGAATATTCTGTTGTAAAGCTGGAAAAAAAATTTATTCATAACTAAGTAAAGAAAATATTTATTTTTTAATTTTTTTTAATTAATTTTCTATAAAAATATCCAAACTTACCTTGTGAGTAAAAAACTGATAAATTCTAAACTAAAATTCAATAAAAGAGTAGATGCTAAAAAATAAAAAGTTATGCATATGTTGACCAAATTTTTCGATTACAATGCTTCACATTAGGATTAGACAAAGCAATATTTCATAATTAATTTTTTTTCTTCCCTTTTTTGTTTGGCATGTTTATATCTACTTATAAGTGTAAATATTTTATGCTTTTATATTTCTTGTCAGGTTTATTATCTGCAAGATCTTGAGAGAAAATTTGCTCGTCTGTGGACAGAATGCCAAAGGTGTCAGGGAAGTCTGCATCAAGAAATATTGTGCACTAGGTATGTTACAAAATAAATCAATATTTTAAATTTCCTTTATTTTCAATCAATTGCATTCCCACGACACTATGAAATCTTATTTTGTACAATTGTCTTGTTTTAACTTTTTGCACTCCAGGCACCTATTTAATGACATTATCACTCTAAAACTTAAAATTCTTATATTTTAATAATTTATAACCACGTTGTTTAATTAGTTTTAGAAGTTATACAAAAAATATTGTACAATATTTAAATAAATA